CTCTTCTTCTCTCTCTCTCTCTCTCTCTCCGCCCCCCACCCCCCCGACCCGCCTCCCCCCCTTTCTTGCCTCTGAAGTGTCTCTCCTCTCGTTCTCTCTCATTCGTCTCTCTTCGCGTCTCTCTGACTTGTCTCTCCTCTCCGTCCTTGTCCTGCAGCCCACCATTGCAATTCTCTTCCCATGATTTCCGTCTTTTTCACCAGGCGCAATGCCCATTTACCCCATCACCCTACAACCCCTTGGTATTTCAGATTACCCCTTCTTTTCACTGAAAAAGTACCGGTCATCATAGACCTCTTGCGACCTCCACCCCTCCGTATCTGCTGAGGCTGCAACAAACTCAGACGGAATCCCTCCACGCCCTCATCCCCTCGCGTGACGGGCCGGGCGGATGAGTCTGATCCCGAGTACTCCAGATGCTGACTCGGGGCCCGGGGCCTCTCACTAAGACCAACTTTTAGTTATCAACAGTCACCGTACTTGATGAGTTTACTACGATATAAAAAATATACGGTTGATACGGGTCTGATACCGCTCTTAAAGACCGGTGGTCAGTATCTGTACAGACTGGCCCCCATACCCCCCCATACCCCTTCCATGTCGCCGAGTACTACCGGGTATTTTGTCAGTCGAAACTACCGGTATGGCACCCATGGGACCACCCCTGGCTAGTTGATAACTTGTCCTACCCCCACCCTATTTTATAAGAGAAAATGAGGGGTAAAGGGGCCTGAGATGAAGGACCACCCCTTGTGAAAGAGAAACTTCAGGGCCAGGACAGCAGAATGCCCACCCTAGAGGGAGGGGGCTCTCACACCCCACCCCCTCTGTTATTGACCCCTCCATAACAAGCCAAAATAAGGGGTACTAGAGGTGACCGGTCATGACCCCACCCCGAGATTCGCTACGACGGTGGCAACTGTATCATCGCGGCCATGAGCTTCAGTTCAGGTAAGCAAGTTCGCCATGTCGGGCGAGGAGTCGGCTTCTCCCTCCTCCCTCCTCCCGCTCCCTCCCTCCCTCCTGCCCGCAAGCTCACATGCTGACTCCACTACCCTTGCGAGAGGATCCTTGGGGTGTTTGCTGTGTGATCCCTTGTCGACATGCTCTGTGTCGTCGCTTTGAAAAGTGGCACTCGGATGTTGGAAAGGAATAGGAAGTTCATCGTTTTCGCTGCTGATGAGGCTAAGTCTATGCCACCTGTCACTTTTGTTGTGTGTTTCAACCTCTCTTGTTCTCCACGTCCTCCGTTCCTCGCTCCGATTCACTTTCGGTACCGTTACAATCCATCATGTTCACGAGAACCAGCTTCTTGCGGGTTGTAACGTATGATCACTGTTCTCTTTGCTTGTGATGCTGTTGTTCTTGTATCTACATCGTGAACACGGAGCCTGAATGAAACGCTAGAGCCAAGACGATCATTGTCTTCGGAAGCTCCGATCGGGCTGGTAGAAGAAGGGCCAGCGATAGGAGGGATGCTCCCGTATCCCTCGGATACCGAGTGCTTTCTTGTGCGGGAGCTTGTAGAGGTACACTCTTCCTGAGCTGTTGGTTGCCTCCTGACGGCCCTTCCTTCAAGACTGGGGGGAGGTATGGCATTGGCCTTAAGATAGAGACCGATCCCCCCCATAGGACACAGCGTGTGACTAACTTGTTCGATGCCAAGGGTCAACGAGTGGGACAGGTGAAGGTCGGAGACTTCCTGCGCATGATAGACGGACAGATAGTTGCGAGCGAGAACATGGACAGCATCGAGAGGAAGATCCTGGGAGTGAAGAACACTACCGTTACGCTGTCGTTCCGCTGCCATGTCACCGACCAGGACTATGAAGTGACAGCTCTTCGGCATATCCCCTTTCAGACTTGGAGTGAGACGCGGAGGTGGCTGGAGATCCGAGACGATCTCTACGGCAAGGAGCTCAAGGTCGACCCTGAGGTGCTGCGGCAACTTGAGGCTATCCGAGCCCTGCTGTGCAACAAGTCTGGATATGCCAAAGACTTCTTGCTGAACGAGCTGGTTACTTTGGAATCGTTCGGGCTGGTGCTGGAGGCCCATGCCGACTCGAAGTCTCCTTCACATCGGATCTCAAAGATCCTTCCTGGCAGCCCAGCCTTCATGACCGGGAAGCTCATGGAGGGGGACGAGGTTGTGGCGATCGACGGGGTTCAGATTGAGGACAGGAGCATCCAGCCGCTGCTGATGAACAAGGGGCTGATCGGTTCGAGCATCGTCCTGTCGGTCAAACGAGGTTCAAACCAGACCGTCAAGGTTGCTGTCTTCCCAGTATGGCAGAGAGGCCTCAAGTTCATCGAGACGTTCTTGGCGTCCATCGACTCCCTGCAGGAGCTGGTCAAGAGCAAGGCCACAGAGGACGTTCTTTGTAGCGCCATCGAAGCATTGATCTCTCAGGTGGTGCAGTTCAGCGGTGAGAACAGTAATCTACAGCTGAAATTGTCAAAGCGCCTGTTTGAAATGCAGAGATCGGTGATAACATGCGTGAACAAGACTGAGTCGTTGATCCATCCCAGCCCTCTCTCTGATCTGAGGCAAAGAATCGACTCTCTACAGAATGACAACCAGAATTTGAGCTCCGAGTACGATAGAATGAAGAAAGAGTTTGACGAGCTCTCCTCGACCCATCGACAATTGACCGGAGTTGTCAATAAGAAGGACACGCAGATTCAGAACTTGGAGCTTGAAAATCAACTGCTCAACACTAGGATACGGGAGTTGAATATTTCTTTTGAAGGGTTTGTCAGTCAAGATGAACATGTCAGGCTTGAGAAAGAGAAGAGACAGGCAGAAGCCACCATCGCAGACCTGCAGACGATCCTGCAGGAACTCAACTCAAAACTTCGATCCCTCAGCTCTGAATCGCAAACTTTGGAGCAGTCAGCAACGTCGTCGCAGATATCCAAGGTGCACCTTGATGAAACAGTCAAATCAGTCGAGCAATACGTAGAGAAGTGCAAGCAGAGCAACGCCGAGCTGCACGAGCTGCTGGATCGCGAGAAGGAAGCAAGGATGGGGTTGTTGAAAGAGCTGGAGAAGGCGGAGATAGGCTTGAATACCTCGAGAGAGAACATGAAAGAGATGCAGAAGAAGATGAAGTCGGAGGTAGAGAAGCACTCGGAGACCGTAGCCACCTGCCAGAAAGCAGAGGCCAGAAAGCGCTACCTCGAGATTCAGCTGGGAGTTGCCAGCGCCAGGTCGGAAGACCTGCTGTCTCAGCTGGTCGCCATACAGTCGCAGCTCTCACTGAGACGAGGAGAGTTGGAATCTAGTTTCGAGGCGTACCATGGCAACCTGGCAGAAGCGAGGCAGAGCATGTCAAGTCTGCAGCAGAGGAGCAAGGTGTCCAAAGAGGTGATCGAGAACCTCCGTCAGCAGATGCAGAACCTGGTCGCCAAGGAGCAGCTGGACAATGTCACTGCCGAGCTGAAGAGCACAAAAGAGAGGGAGAGCTTGAGGATGAAGGAGCTGACCGCTGCGCGAGAGGAGATCAGTCAGCTGAACGGCAGCCTCCTGCAGAGCAAGTCCGAGTCCAGGCTGGTGAAGACTGAGAGCGAGACGTACCAGCAGGAGATCGCTTCCCTCCGGAAGAGGCTAGAGGAGTCGACGAGGCAGATCGAGACCTTGCGGGAGGAGCTTGAAAGTGAGAAGAGCACGAGGATGGAGACTGTCCCCAAGGCAGAGCTGCATGCGGCTCAGGCTGAACTGAGGACGTTGAAGGAGAGGATCAAGGAGCAAGGTTCTTGTTTGTGCTTGTTGCCCGACTTCTCTGAGCCTTGCATGCAGAGAATGAGATGTCCTCCCTCAACAAGACCATCACCCAGCAGCAGGCTGCCTCTGACAGGAGCGCCAAGGAGTTTGAGGTGCACAGGAGCGCTCTGCAGGAGAAGCTGAACGCCATGGTCAACAAGAGTCTGACGCTGGTGGAGAGGTCCGAGGTCGAAGAGTTGTCGAGGCAGCTGACGGAAGTCCGCAAGACTTTGACGGTCAAGGTGAACCAGGTGGAAGTGAAGGAGGAGGAGATCGCGACCCTGCAAGGATCTCTGGAGCAGACCAAGCAGAAGTTGAACAACTCAGTGGAGAGGATGTCTAGGATGATCGAGAGAGACGAGCACGAGAGCTTGCGGTCAGAGCATGAGAAGGCAACGGTCAAGTGCGACAAGCTCAGGGCGCAGTGCGAGGAGCTTGAAGCTGAGAAGAAGAAGCAGGTGGAGGAGCTTACAGCTGTCCGCAGAGAGCTCGAGGCGCTCAACGTGTCCGTCCTGGAGAAAGTGCCGAGACAAGATTGGCTGAGAGCCCAGGAGGAGTGTGAGCTGGCCAAGAACGAGCTGGGGACCGTGCGCAGGCAGACAGAGCTGCTTGAGAAGGAGGTGCTGTCGCTCAGGTCGACGTTGAAGCACTCGGTGTCAGAGGCCGAGCACAGGAGGGAGCAGGAGGAGGCGTCGGGCTTGAGGAACCAGCTGAATGCGCTGAAGAGAGACATGAGGAACGTTGGGCTGTCCGATCCTGTCTTCCTGGAGTTCCAGTCTCTGATCCGAGATCGAGCTCACGTCTCCGTCCCAGAGCTGATGAGGCTGGTAGAAGCTCTGCTGCGCGAACCCTCCTACTCCTTGGACGAGCTAGTGGAGCTTGTGTCCTTCGCCAAGACTCTCCCCGTCGTCAGGATCTGCGACCTACAGAAGTTCCTCGAGTTTGTCAAGGAGAGCGGGAGGGAATTAAAGGAAATCCGGGAGATGATTGAGATTGCTGGATCTCCCGATCGGTGGAGTGTCCAGGACATTTGTAGGATCCGGTCTGTGATGTTGTGCTCTAAGGAGTACACGTTCGAGGAGCTCGAGCAGCTGTTTGTGGAGTTCTCAAGGATGGAGGAAGTCAGGGCGTTGAAGCAAAGCAAGGAGGATGCGGTGCTGTCGCAACAGGACCTGACGGCGGAGCTCCAAGTCGCGAACGCGAGGGTCAGCCATTACGAGGAGATGGTGGGCAGCCAAGCTATGGAGATACAAGACCTGCAGCACAAGCTCGTTCCTCCGCCTCCCACCATCCTCATCTACGACGATACGTTCCCGCTCCAGGTCACGATCAAGACTGACTGCGCCTCTCACTCCATCTACTACACCACCGACAACAGCCTCCCCAGCAGCGCCAACTGCCATGGCAGCGGGGTCGGCCGGCTGCAGTTCAAGCTGGAGGGGAACGCGATTGTCCGAGCGGTGGCTAAGAATCGGTTCGGGTACGTGAGCCACGAGGAGGTTAGGGAGGTGGAGAAGGAGGCGAAGGGCATGGGAGGGGTCGGGATGCTCCTTGAGCACACGACCAGCACGCGGGACGTTCATGTCCGAGAGATCATCCCCGACAGCTCCGCCGATCGGTCAGGAGCGATCAGTGTGGGCGACGTTCTGCTCAGTGTCAACGGGTTGTCTGTGGGAGGCAAGCGGCTAGCAGAGATCTTCAGGATGATCCAGGGGCCTGAGGGAACTTCGGTGACCTTGAGCATGAGGAAGAGCAGCGGGAAGCAAGTGTACTCGGTGAACCTTGCCCGGCAGGGCAGCGACGAGCTCTTCTTGTCGCAAGACTGCAGCAGCTCCAAGGTCTCGTCCCAGCGCAACCATGATGGAAGCTTTGTACAGTCCCCAGCTTCCTCCGGCCCAGAGATCGCAAGCCTCGGGTCCAAATCTGGCGCGATGAGTCGAAATATCAACTCAAGTTTGAGCTCGCTCTTGAAGGTGAGAGAATGAGCGAAGAGGAGGAAAGGAGAGCAGGCAGGAGGGGGGGAAAGATGAGAGCGAAGAAAGAACACAAACGAATGACAGGGCAGGGCAGGGCAGGGCAGGGCAGGGCAGGGCAGGGCAGGGCAGGGCAGGGCCAGGGCAGGGCAGGGCAGGGCAGGGCAGGGCAGGGCAGGGCAGGGCCAGGGCCAGGGAGGTAGCGGCAGCGCGTAGGACAGGAACGGGGTTTTCTGTTGCTGATTCATCTGACAGGGGAACGATGACGGGGCGAAGGCAAACGGCGCTAACGAGGAGCTGCTGGAGGGAGTGGATGGGCCAGGTATCTACGTCTGCTGTACACAGACAGGACAGGCAGAAGAATGTCTTGTTGCCATGTGAAGACACGAAATACCATCAGGAACGCGTGCCTGTCAACAAACTGATACATTCAAGGCACCCCCGGCCCTCTTGCTCTCAGTCCACCATGCTGAACGTCACTCATACTGCTACATTCTTTCAAGTCTGCAGCGTCTTCACCCCGACACCCGTCGAACTCCAAATCTTCTGCAGCGAGCAAGTCAAGATTGGAGGGTGGGGGAAAAGGGAGGAAGCGGGAGCATCTCGTTACCTGGGTGATCTTCTGCTGTCGGAGAGACCTGCTTATGACCCCATCCTCTGAGAGGATGTTAACCTTGTCCATGCTCCCCTTGGCCGCAAGGATCTCAAGGCACTGCACTGAAGTCACTCGACCATGGCAGAGCCTCCGGCGCCCCTCCTACCTCCACCGGGCCCTCAAAGATCCCAGTCGACATCCCCGCGTCTACCCGCCAGATCTCCCTCCCCTCAGGCGTTACAAGGCAGTTGACTCCCTCGAACTGCAGCAGAGTAAGAAGGAAGAGCGAGCAAGGCCATTCAGCAACCTGCGGTGTGTGTCCTATCACCATTCTAGATACGTGAAGTAGTCTCATGGTACAGTCAGCAGCTGACAAGGTGAAGGGGTCGACAGTGTTGGCGGTAGCAAACGCCCGGTGCCATATCGGGGAGAACTGCGGGTTACATTCCAGCAGCCATGGCTTCATTGAATCCTCTCCTGCCAGCCAGTTCGACGTCTCGTCGTTCAGCCGCTGCAGGCCATACACCACGGCTTCCGGCATCAGTCCTCCTGGAGGGCAAGGTCAAGGCGGAGGGAGAGGAGGGAGAGGGAGGGTCGGCTACCGTGACAGAAGACGGTGTCTCCGATGACGACACACACGGGCCAGGTCGACAGGGTCTTGCTCAGCGTTCCGTGTCCTCTCCTGAGGGCGTTGACTCTGCCGTGCATGTACTTGGGCAGAGCGTGGATCGCGACCTGCTCCGCCTCATACGCTGCGCTCCCCCTGCCGCCGTCCTCCAGCTCCCACCCCGCCCATGCAGCAGGGTCGACGTAACGGAAGTCCAGCTGCACGTTCATGACCTCGTGGTTCCCCAGCAGGCAGATCACGTCTCCTCCCGAGGCCCGAGCTTGCTCTTGCAGTTTGATCAGCAGCCGCATACACCAGTAGTCGTTGGGCCCCCTATCCAGCACATCTCCCAGCTGCACCAGGACCGAGTCTTTCCCTATCCAGTTCCCCCGATCATCGATGAGGTGGGACATGTGCAGGCTAGTCGCAAGCGCTCGAACGTCGCCATGGATGTCCCCTAGGGCAATGATCCGCTTTGGTCGGTCATAGTAAGTCTTGAGTAGGCCGGGATGGTGCGATTGCTGCGCTGCAGAGCAAACAATTCTCGCTAGACCTGCTACGAAAGCCTTCCTTTGTGAGCAAGAGTTGTCTGCCGGTGATGTTATCAGCCTCGATGTTGAAACCTTCAGTTGTAGGGAATTGACATGAAACGACGATACACCGCCGAGTGTACAGAAGACTAGTACCCATAAAGTTGTACTGCGCATGTTGGTAGGAGAAACCTTCCTACCAAGAGTTATGAAATCCTGATCCTTGCAAAACTCCCGCGACGAATGTCCAAAATAAATGATTTTTGCTCAAAAATTGCCCCGAGGAATACAATCTGTTAGAACAGAAGTTAAACCAAGAACGCCGATGCTATTTCTTCTGAATTTCATATGATAATCATGATCATTCATCATTATTCTATGATCTGCGGACAACTTGCAACATCTGGCCATGTTTGAATGTTTGTTCTCGGAATATCGTTCAAACCATTGTTGTCATTTCTCTTGTCTCTCTGGCTACTCCCGCAAGTACCGATCACTCTCTTTCATGCATCTTCTTGTCCTGACCTATCCTGACATGAACTGCGCTGTATCATCATCCTTCCCTCCCTTCTCCCCCCTCCTCCCTTCCCCCCCCCCCCCCAGCCATCTCTTCCTTGCACTGTGAACGATCGCATCGCTCCCACCCCTACCCCCTGTGGCGTCGTACTATTCCCTTTCTCGATGATCTCATTACCCTACCCCCTATAGGCCAGATATTTGTACCTAATTTGATTATGAATCAGGGGGTATCTTCATCACCCTACCCCATGAAATCCACGGAAATAGTACCCTGACCCTGCATGCAGACGCAATGGACCGGTGCTGCCAAGCTACAGCCCGTGCACTTTTTAAAACAATTGTTTTACGTTTCAATGAAATGAAATAATTTGAATTTATTCCCTCTAGTTTTCTCTTACAAAGAACTTTTTGCGTGTCCATTCTTCAAATCTGAACTAGCACCATGGCCGGGTCGTGCTCAGTTTAAGTCCTTTCGGAGGATCCGATCGCGCCGCCCGGCGGCCCGGTGCACGACCCCGAGTCACTATCATGACTGATCCTGACATTGGACCTGACCGTGCAGTGGCGGCCGGCCGCCCGGCTGTACTACGGTACACCGGGTCCCTCATCCCGACAGCGGCGCCGCCGGGATGATTCTGCCGCCGCGCACCTCGCGGCCTCGGACGGTCAGCCTGATCGGACACTGAGCGCCGCAGCGGCCGCCCCGGTAACTTGCCCTGCTCGGCCAGGCACGCTGCGCCCGGCGGGCCGTACGGTCTCTGGCCTCCAGCCGCCGCCCGGGCGACCGCCGCATTGTTATGGCCAGTGATCGTTGTGATAAAAAGAAGACAGAAGTTTGAATTTGGTTTATAACTTACTACAGTAGCATGAACGTGCACGCCGGTAAACTTTTCACACTACAAGGGTGAACTTAATCCGAGGAGCTGGATTTCTTCTCTTTGTCTGAGGATTCAGCGTTCTCCTTAAAAATCGAGATGTCAGCTAGTTCAGAACGAATCGACAGAAGCATGATCAAAGCTCACAGATTTCTTCTCGGACGAACGCTCAGATTTCTGCTCGACAGAGCTGGAGGACGAGGAGGCTGATTCTGACTTGGATTTCTCGCCATCGGAGGTCTTGCGGGCGGCATCCTTCTCACCTGCCTTCTCCTCTCCCTTGACTTCAGCTTTCTCTCCAGACTTTGCCTCGGACTTCTCTCCGGACTTAGCTTCGGCCTTTTCTTCGGTCTTAGTTTCCGATTTTTCTCCGGACTTGGTTTCCGTTTTCTCTCCCTTTACTTCAGCTTTCTCTCCGGACTTTGCCTCAGACTTCTCTCCCGCCTGTGCACCCAGTAGCGGTCAGAACCGAGCCAAGGTGTGTTGCGAATTGAAAATGAAACTGAAATCAGGTCATGTAATCACTGTTACCTCCTTGGTTCCTTCCTTGGTAGCAGATGAGGACGAAGACGAGGAACTGCTCTGCTTGTTGTCGCTGTTGGAGGTAGTGTTGCGCACCTACAGGGAGACAGGATCACAACACAACTGATGGAAGCCCGAAATGACGTGCCTTCGAATCAGCAGACAAGGTCTGCGATGAAGTCAGAAATAATGGTCACGGACACGCTCTCAACTCTCTACCTCAGTCTTCTTCTCCGACTGCTCGACGGCCTTCATGCCCTGGAGGGATGTATTGGACTTGTTGCGCATGGGATGTAAAGACATACCTCCTTCAAGTTGGACTGGTTGCTCTGGGCAGAAAGAGCACCAGCCCTTGATGCATTGCCTTCGCCTCCAGCACTCTGTCCCGCACCCTCAACGGCCTATCATCCGGTCACATGGCTTGGCCTGAGACACAGAGACGACGGCGGCACTTACTCTTGTTGCAGTCTCGTTGGATCCTACTGCAAGACGAGCAATGAGAGGAGCAATAAACAGAAAGGGGAGAGCTTCTTCACCTGTGACGTTGCTGCTGTTCCTCGAGCTCAGCCATGAGTACCCGCGGCGGAAGAGGCTGAGGCCACCGAACCTGGTGTGAGATCGTCCAGCCATGCCCTGCCAGGAGGAGAAAGGTCAGATGACAAGCGAGCTGGTGCAGGACAAGACACGGACCCTGTACTGGTCGATCATCCTTTGCCTACGACCAAAGCTGCTCAGACGCTTGTTCACCTACAGAAACGGTCCTTGCTTCAGAACATGCATGACCAGGGCAGTGATTAACAATTTTTGTTGTCTACCTCATCATCAGACTCCTGTCCAACCCTGCGGCGAGTGTCGGTGGAGTTGCTTGAGGATTTCTTGTACTCGATGCTGGACTTGAGGCTGTCCAGTTGATCTACAGCCTTCATGATCTCTCCCCTCGCTTCCTCCTTCTGCTCCTCGCTCGGGATAGACTTCTGAAGTCCTTGCTGACGCTTAGCAATGCTCGTGATAGGTCCAGAGAATGCAGAGACGCCAGCAGCTCCGATCGCTGCTCCTGCGGCGGCGGCACCGGCAGTCATAAAAGCGCTTCCAGGCTGCATGTGCCCTTGCATGCCCCCATGCTGGCTGAACATTCCGGGGTTCATGCCATGGGAGTGCATGCCTGAGCTCATTCCAGGATGCATGCCTCCTTGAGGACTGAAGCTCGAGCCTGGTCCCATCCTCCTAGGTCCAAAACCACCTGAACTTTCACCGAACCTAGACTGGAGGTTGCCCTGATACATCCTGGAGCTGTAGGGATAGGACTCCCTCCTTCTCCCGAAGACGGCTTCTCTGTTCACAGGAAGCCCTAGTCGGCCTCCTGCCGCCATCGCTGCCGTAGCAGCCAGCACCAGCGCTCTTGCCACGTGTCTCCCGCCCATGGCCGGTCACCCGCGATGGAGGTACCCCCACCCAGACAGCCTTTTGTTTCCACACACCGGTGCGTGATGTACCCCTACCCTGCTTTTCCCTTCCAATCACTATGATAGTACCCTCACATTTCATGTGTATGTAGGGTGGGTAAGAAGATGTACCCACGTCATTCTCTCTAGGGGCACCCCAGCTAGCGCCAATACCTACCCTTTTGAGTATTGCTGGGATACAAGGGGTGGGGTACCCATCACACCCCATCGTTTATCTTTTTGGTAGTGATAATCACGGGGTAGGGTAATGACCTCTCAGGAACCCCTGACCCCTACCTAGTCTACCCCTATCATCCGGTACCTCGTCAGTTGGGGTAGTCGTGTGGGTACGGTACACTACCCCCACCATACATTTACCACATTACTACCCCTCATATGAAGGCAAGATTTTGGGATGGACCCCACCCTCAAGTCTTGGATGTTCACAGTAGCCAAACCGATCAGAATTTTACTACCAAGTATACGTAAAATAATTTATATTTCAGACCTTCAGTATCAATTCTTGGGTTCAATTACAATATTAAAGTGAATATATCAAAATTTTTACACTAAATACTTTATTAAATCTCTTGGGGGTACTGTGCGATCCACATGTAATTTGTACCTGAAGAAGTATTTTTACATTCAATTAATAAGATGCGGCACTGGCGACTCAGTGACTCAGTGGCGGTCGGATTGCGGCGGCCCGGCCCACCGCGCTGGCCGGGCGTCCGCCCCGTACTGATTTTTATCTTACTAAAAGTTAACTTTGAGTAGCGCTGTGGGGTTGGGTCGGGCCGGGGTGGGGGGGAGGGAAGTGCCGGGCCCATCGGGTAAACCTTCCGAAGCCTATGTTCAGTGCGCGAGCGGCGGCAAGTCGAATCATGGCACTGATAGCGGGCTAGCAACAGCCCAGTGTACGGATAAGTTCTGAGTCTCAGACTGTGAACTTGAACTCGAGCGTCGGAATCTCTCGGAGTCGGCAGTGGTTGATTTTTCAAAGAATAACAAACAATTTCCTCCCTCCCTCCCTCCCTCCAGAGGCTCGGTCCGTCCTTTCCCTAGACTAGGCTGCCGCCGCCCGATGCACTGCCCGGAGTCCCTCACCTACAGCTAGGCCGCATCGTTGAGTGCTAAGAGAAGTTGGCTGGAGAGCTTGAGGAGGGTCGCGACCATGGCTTCATCCTCCTCCGCAGCGACTTGAAGCTTCTTGACCTGAGTAAGAGGATGGAGGGCGTGTGAGAGAGAGGCAGTTGAAGGGAGCCAAGGGAGGGAGAGGCAGTTGAAGGGAGCCAAGGGAGGGAGAGGCAGTTGAAGGGAGCCAAGGGGGAGAGAGGCAGTTGAAGGGAGCCAAGGGGGAGAGAGGCAGTTGAAGGGAGCAGAGGCAGTTGAAGGGAGCCAAGGGAGGGAGAGGCAGTGGTAGGGAGTCGACCGGTGTACCTGCCATGACTGTTTGTCGACGGAGTCAAACTGCTGGGCTTTCCACTCCTTCTGGATGTTGTCCAGCTCCACCTGGGGGAGGGTGGGTGAACGAGCTGAGTCCAGCTGAAGGGGAGGAGAAGCTCAGCTGTAGGTTCACCTTGGCCTGCACGAGTTCCTCGTTGCTCTGCTGAAGTTTCTCCAAGTTCGACCGGTTCTCCTCCTCCAGCGCCTGCTCGCGACATGAGCAGCCGTCCTGGTCCTGCCCCACCTCCCTCTCGGGGGAGGGGGAGAGAGACAGAAACGAGATGGGGATTTGGAGGGGCAGAGGTGGGATGGGGAAGAAGCGAGGAGAGAAGGGGGGGAGAGGGGGGGGTAGGGGGGAGGGGGAGGGGAGGTAGTCC